AGAGCCATGAGAAGAGCCTTACTTGATAGGCAGAGACAATTACTTGTCTCATAGTCCATGGATGTGCAGCTTCCTAGCAGCTTTGTTCTTTTCTCACCAAGAAAGAATTGTGAATTCATCATTGCTGACTTATACCATAGGAGTAGATAATATGGACAGTGTTGCCCAAGCACAGGACAGAGTCATAAAGCTATTGACACACAGGTTGATGGAGCTCAGAGGCTGGCTTCCCTGAGAGGCACAAAACTCAGTATTAATGAAGAAGGAAGCAGTATCTAGAGGATAGTTTTTTTGTTGCCTTAGATAAAATTATGGAGAAAACTGAGGAATCCAAGGTCTAAATCACTAAGAGTAGTGGGCATGCTTCCTCCAAGAGAATGGAGCTTAGCTGTAGTCAAGATGAGTTGACAGAAGTCCTCATCCCCCACCCCCATCCCCTGCAACACACAATTCTGTGGTACTTAAGTGGAAGAGTTGATCAGGCAACCTACTTTAGTTTTGGGAATAAAGAGCCTTCTCCAGACCTTCAGTCTCAACCGTCAGCCACTTCTGACCTAGAATAAGGACAATTATCTGCTAAGGAATTTGAGGAGGCTAAGAGGATATTGAAATCTTTTTAGTTCTGAGTTTTTTCCAGTACTAATAAGAAAGATGGCAAGAATGTACACCCTGAATTTTGAGGCTTTGACTCCTGGGGAGGATGAAGCCCAGGAAACTCAGCATTCACAGAAATGTTTCCTTGCACTCATAGCCTTGCACTTTGGATTCTGCTCCCAAATGTTTTCTTTGATGTCATCAAGAGAGAATGGATGGAATCATCCAAATGAAAAGCTCCTCCTTCTATGGCTGGCAAGCTATATGGGTTGCCACAAAAGACGTGGATTGTCTTGGAATTTCATCAATGGATGAACCTGTGGCAACTGTCATCTCTAAGACAGCAGTTGGGGAGAGGAGAGTAGGTTTTTGTAGACCTTGTTGAATGTGGGGTAGGTAAGTATTTGAAAAGAGACCTTGAAACCACATCCTTGGGAATTAGAGCCTCAGTAATTACTTCTGTTGCCACCAGAGCCCTGAGAATTTGGACTCATGAATTGTTTAAAGATCCATCTTATACCTGAAGAAGGCAGCCAAGGTAGGAGAGCTGATTACTAAGGCTACCTTGAGCAACACTATGACAGTGGAAGTGCCTTATCAATATCTGCGGTTCAAACATAGGCAGGTCAATCAGTAATCCAGGGTCAATTTGACATCCAAGACTTTCATTGGCAAGAAACTTTTTGGAGAAGCCATAATTCCATGCTGGAGGAGAGTAGATTAAGAAGAAATACTTACCTTCATTAAATTAAAAAAATACACCAGATTTGGCAGAAAACCAGAGAATAATCTTTTTTAATTTCAGAGGAAATTTAAAAAGTATTTGTGGAGACAAGATAGTCAATGCAGATATTTCAGCAGAGCCTGGGACAAAAGGGTCAAGTCCTAACAGAAAAGAGCATCAAACTGATGTGAAGGACATAATTGGTGGGCACCTAGAACACTTTTTGACCACCTTGGAAGAGATTTGTAGATACACATGGATGCTCAACTTGGTTGAAGAGGAATATGTACTGGAACTTCAGATCTCTTTCAACAAGCAAGTTTCTTCCATTGTTGACATCCAGGAAATCACATGTACATCCAAGAAATCAGAAGTACTTCAGTGAGAAGCCATCCATCAATTGCTCAGTATTTGAACAATAGTATACAGTAAGTGCCTTAATAAAAAAGGTTTACTGGCCTGTTCTTGATATTCTTAATGGTTCCAAAGAAAAACATGAATTGGAGAGCTGTTTTGAATGTGAAGCCATTTAATAAGTTAATCAGACACCAGAAGTTCAAAATGGAAATATACTGGTTTGCCAAATATCTGTTGGAGGCTCCTTGCTGGAATAATGACAGAGATGACCAGAAAAGTTTGTGCAGAAAATTTCCAGAGTTTGGCAGTTTTACTATGTTTTATTGTTTTATTGCCTATTGCCAACATTGTTTCAAATATTACAATAAAAAACATTTTTCTCAACATAAAGCTTTTGTTTCTTTGAATGTACTGTTCAAACTGCATAAAATAGTCTCAATGTACTTCTTGCATCAAATAATGTAGTCCAAATACTTGTGCAGACTCTGGATACTGAGATGAATATGTTAATTGGAATCATACTCAAATGCAAAGGAAAACTTTCCAATTTAAAATGTCCTGAAAAACTACACTGTAAAGGGACTGTGACTGTAGGCCATTCTTCCTCTTCCCTGTAGCCCCATGAATAACCTTCAACTAGGACTAGGTTTTTCTACATTGCTAAAGAAAGATCATGAATACAGCTAGTCCTTGACCTATGACCACAATAGGGACTAGAAAATTCATCATTAAGCAGTGTGGTCGTTAAGTGAATCATGTGACTGCACCCAATTTTATGACATTTTTGGCGGTGGTGGTTAAGCAAATCACTGTGGTCATTAAATGAATCATGCAGTCGTTAAGTGAATTGTGTGATCCCCATTGATTTTGCTTCCCTGAAGCTGGCTGGGAAGGTTGCAAATGGCAATCACATGACCCTGGAATGCTGCAACCATTGTAAATACATGCTGGTCGCCAGGTGCCTGAATTTTGATCAGTGACTGCGGGGACACTGCAACAGTTGTAAGTGCAAGGACTGGTCATAAGTCACTTTTTTTAGTGCTGTCATAACTTCGAATGGTTACTCAACGAATGGTCTTAAGTTGAAAAGTGTCTGTAGCACTGGTTTGTGTTTTATTTCCTGTTCAGAATATAACTTTTCAGAATAACTGTTCTGGAATGGTCCTTGAATGCAACAAAACTATAGTCAATTTGAAAGTTGCATTCATTGACAGCTGTATTCAGATGCTTTCTTTAAGCAGCATAACAAAACTTGGAAATGTGGTTAAAATCATGATTGCACTAATAAGACATGGAAACAATTGCAGAACTGTTGGTATCCAATCAGCTGCTTTACAAATATAACATATTTCCTCAACACTTTACATGCACATCTCTATGCATGCCACATGCCTGAGTAGGTGAAGCAACAGAGAAGGCCCTCTTCCTGGGTCCTGCTAGATGACATTGTTTAACTGAGGGGATCCAAGGCAAGCAGGACAGAGAGAGGCTATGGGAGATAGGCAGTTCCTCTTGTTTAAAGTTTTCTCTTGTGGCAAGATGAGTGACTGCATGGATGGAGCAAGATTCTTCAGTATGAAGACAATGGCAAATTACACAGAATGCATAAGTGGCATTTCCTACATCTTTTCAGTTTAAAATTACACCTAAAGTGTTCATGCTATGTTTAACTGAAAATAAATATTTCCCTAAAATCTGTGTGCAAGTAATGCTTTTAAAATAAGTATTTCCTGCATCTTTTCAGTTTAAATTACATCTAAAAATGTTCATACTATGTTTAATTGGAAATAAATATTTTATATCCCTGAAGCCTATGTATTAGTAATGCTTTTAGGATAAATATATTAGCCATTTTTACTTATTACCAAATTCTGGAACAAGTCTAATTTTATCTAAGTGAAACAAACTGTTGATTACAGAAAGAGGAAAGGTGAACTTGCAACATTTTTACTAATGAACATTTCTGAATTTTGATTTCTTAGACATAGTTTTGTCCCATCTAAATATATTGTTGTCCACCCCATGTGTGAAAAGTAAAGAATGTGTTGTTGATTCACACAATTGGAAAGGAACATGCAAAGGTATAGACTGAACCTTAGTACACAGTATGCTACAGGCACAAAGTGAGTACATCTTAGAAATGAGTATAAAACCATATTTCAAGGTGACACCCTTGATTTTAACTTTAAGGAATTGGACTGGATTATTAACAAAGGAATAAGGAAGACCCTTGCCTACTCCACACAGACATTTTAAATTTTACTTAGCCTATCTGCCAAATTTTCTCAAGAGAATTTTCCTAGAGTCAGATTGAATGTATCTACTGTTGATTAATGCAATATGAATGGAGCATGCAGGATGCATTGGCATGGATCCCAAAGATCTTAAAATGTATTACATTCAAATTATTTCAACCGCTTATAATAAATCAGCAGAATATGTTGAATCTGGTAATAATAATAGCATTTTGCCAGAATTACTGTTTAGAATCTGTTAAATTAGTCTTAGATATGTGTGGGTGGGTAGGTGGGTATGTGCCTTTGAATTAATCTTGACTCCTGACAACTGCCTGGACTAGCCCCTGCAGTTTTCCTGGCAATATTTTTTGGCAGAGGCTTGCTATTGCCTTCTTCCTGGAGCTGAGAGAAATTGACTAGCCAAAGATCACCCAACTGGCTTTCTGCCTAAGGCAGGACTAGAACTCACGGTCTCCCAGTTTCTAGTCTGGTGCCTTAATCACTACACCAAACTGGCTGTGTTAAATTGGTCTTAAATATACAACTACCTAAGCCTTGTAACATATTCATCTCTGCAAAAGACTGTATGGTAACACTTTTTATAGGCTCAAAGTTGGTGGGCAGAACACTTATGTGTTCAGAATTAATGGGAAGAACAATCCAATAATACTGATAGAGTTTTGTGGTAGAACAGAATCTGTTGGCTTCCTATATCCAGGGAAGAGCTTTCAGACGAAGTGTTTCTATTTTTTTGTTTCTTATACCTTCTCTGATCTTTGTCAGTTTCAAGTTTGGTATATTATTTCCTGAGACTGAAAGGATTAGAAATTTGTGCTTCTCTGACTTTCCCTATCACACACTCAAAATACCTATTTTGGGCCTAACTATGAAGATTGCTGCTGCTGCTTTTGGAGATCCTGGATGAACCGATGGAGCAGCATTTCCATATTCTGATATCCTTCAGCCATTACTTATAGAGTACAGTATGGCCTCTTCAGCAAATATACCCAAACCTAAGGGATTCTTCGTTTAAGACAGATGAGAGTTCAGGACAATGTTGGGTTGATTCTTCCTTTCTTAAATTTTAGGATACTGGAGTTGGCAAATCAAGTATAGTTTGTCGATTTGTTCAGGATCATTTTGACCACAATATTAGCCCTACTATTGGGTAAGTACTATGTACAGTTAAGCTAAATAAACACTGATGAATTCCTATAATTTAAAGTAGGGAGAGTTCATTATTCAAAATAGCTGTATATATATTATGTACAGTTTCCATCCCTGTTTTAACATGGGACATTATTAATTAAGTGAACATATTATCTTCTATTAATGCCAATTGCAATGTATTTTAATTGTTCTGTAATTTTTTGCTGAGCTTCTACTACCACAACTAACAGTACCCAAACCCAGCAATTTAGGCCTGTTTTGGGGTAGGGGATTGTATGTTTTTAAGGGTAGAGATGGGAGGAATATGTCTCCTACTACCATTCCCACTCTTAAAATCCTAAAAAAATGGGCAGAAAAGTTGATCCTGCCCATTACAATGGCACTTGTGTCACAAGATGACCTCTTATAGCTCCCTAGAAGGTTTGGATGCCTAGTTATGATGCTTTTCTATGAATCATTGACCATTCCTGATTTAAATCCATAGTTTTAGAAAAGTGCTTTTATATTTAAAATTTATTTCTTTATTTATACTCTGCATTTCTAAGGTTGCCTGACTCAACAGTGACTTTAGGTGACCTACAAGTTAAAAACAACCGGAGTCCCTGAAGCAAAAACAAAAAAGAAAACATAACAGAGAACAAATATACACTATAGCAAATGGATATAATACAATACACAACCAATTTAGCCCAGAGCCTAGAGAAAAAGTTGAGATTTCAAAACTTGTTTATAGGATTGCAGAGTCAGATCAGTTAAAACCTCCAGGGGTATGCTGTTCCACAAGGAGGCAGCATATAGAAGGCACAGTTCCTGAGCCCCATCAAATGGCATCACTTAATGGGTGGAACATGAAGTACACCTACTCTATCAGATCTTACAGGATGGGCAGAAACAATGAGAGAGAGGCAGTCCCTCAAATAACCAGGCTCTGTGCCATGAAGGACTTTACAGGTAATAGCCAGCAACTTGAATAGTACCCAGACGTTTACTGGTAACCAGTGCTGCTCACATAGCAGAGGTGTGACATCAGTGTTTTGAGGCAGGCCCATAACAGGTTGTGGCATTGCATTCTGGACCAGTTGTAGCTTCTAAGATGAATTCAAGGGCAGTCCCATATAGGGCACATTGCAGTAGTCCATGCACAAGGTGACTAAGGCATTAGTGACTAAGAATAAATTTCCAGTCAAGGGAAAGGTGCATTTGGCACATCAGGTGAATATGTGCAAAGGGCTTCCTGGCCACAGCCACCACCTGTTCTTTGAGCAAGAGCTGTGAGTCCAGAAAGACCCCCAAATAACAAACCAGTTTTGTATGGGAAGTGCAACCCCATTCCAAACTAAAGATAGAAAATATCTGGTACTGGAACAATCATGAACCCATAGTTACTTGTTCTTGTCAGGGATGAATTAAGCCAGTTCCTCTCCATCCAGACCCTAACAGCCTCCAGACACTGGGACAAGACTTCAACAGCATCACTTGGTCAACCAGGAGTTGAAATATACAGCTGAGTATCATCAACCTACTAATGATGTCTGACTCTGTGTGGACAGATGACTTTAGTTACCACTTCATGTCATTGTTAAACAGGAGGGATGAGAGTGTCGGGTCCTGAGATACCCACAAACTAGAGGCTTTGGGCTTGACCTCTGCCCCAATTAATGATGACTGGAACCACTCACGGGGAAAGTAGTTGGTCCAGAAATATATCACAATCAATGGCATTGAAAGTTCTCTGAAAAATTAAAGAGAACCAGGATGGTCACACCACCCCCATCACAGCTCTATCTGAGGATATCAACGTTTGTATTGCATCCCAGCCTCAAATTTGACTGAAACAGGCCCAGATAATCCATTTCTTCCAACCCTCTGAAGCTGCAGCCCGACCACCTTCTCAGCAACCTTTCCCAAAAAGGGAAGATTGGAGACTGGATGAAAATTGTCCAGAATCACTGGTCCAGCAATGGTTTCCTGAGGTGGAAGCTGTAGAGGAATTTAGCTCCAGCATTGAGAAGGAGGAATGAAAAAGAAAAGGGTTGCTCAGCCCTGGGAAAGTAGAAAGCATGAGAAAGAGACTTAGAACAGCCTCACCTTGACCTTGTTATCCTTAAAAAGGGCAGTTAAAATTTTGGACAGGCTTTCAGGATTCTGTTAGTACATCCTACAACAATAAAGTAGTATTCCTGGAATCCCTGCCATGTCTATTCCTTGACCTTGCCTTTCTTGAAGGGCTGACAGGTGTATCGCTGGCTTTTTGTCATACAACCATGCCAGGTGGAAACTAAGGCCTTGAACCAGATCCTTCTGAAAATCTGGTTGAATCAGACTAATAGTTCAACCTCCCCACAGGTTGGGTGGATTAAGCCAAAAAGCAGAGAAAGTTCTGACCATGACAGAGGACTGATGTGATGGAAGACATTACCATTAGAGACAAAAGCCAGATCTAATGACTTGGGTCAGGTTCATGTTGGCCATGATTTCCTGAACTCCTCCTAACTCTGTGCCACACAAAGTCAGGTTAACATCTCCCAAAACTATCAATCTTGGAGACTCCATCTTGTCAAGCTGCTCAGGCAGGCAAGTTGCTGCTGTGTAGGGAGGCTGATATGGCAGCAATTAATGCAACTGTTCTGAAAAGGCCAACTTTAGCCACAAGGCCTCATATTCCAATTTTGTGCAGGGCAGTGAAAGATGTTCAGACTTCTCAGATAACAATTCATAACTAATGTTTATTTTTTTTCAGCTGTAAAACATTCATAAACTGTTGTATGTTTCTAATTCCTTCCAGTTTTACAATCAGTATTCAGCTATAATAAAAGTGATTGCAGATTTGGGCACCAATATCCCTTTTGATATACTTCAGTGTAATTAATTGGGGCAGTGGCAATTATCCAGGTGATGATGATACGTGCCGGAAATCTCAACGAATTGTACCATCCAGGAAAGAAAAGATTCTGCCTTTTCTTTTTTGTTTAGGATTAAATGTAGTTTAGAATAGAGATTCCTGCTTTACTTAATCTCTCATTTAACATATTTTAAGCACATCTACTTGAATGTTATCAAAAATTAAAAAATTAAGACTGATTACCTGAACTTTCCTAGGCATGTATTTCCTTCTGTTGAAAGAATAATTTCATTTTTCAATTCATCACATTTTAATAAAATGGGATAGTGTGGTTTAAGGGGCTACTATGTCATTCATCTTTAGTAATTCTTCTAGAACTTTACAAATGTGAATTCTTTCTAATAGAAGAGAATATGTGTAGCTCAGGGTTGAACTTGGAGTCCCTAGGCTTGGTTGTTTTCTTGCAAACGTTTCATTACCCAGAAACATCTTCAGTGCTAAAATGGAGTGAAGTTTGCTCTCTGTTTATATACAGAGGCTTGCCCTGCCTGTGTTGGTGGGGTTTTTTTTTTACTGGTAGTTCCTTGATTAGGGTATTGTTTACTACTCACACTACATGGACAGACTTAACCATGGTTTCAACTGGGAAACTGTCAGCATCTAAGCAGAGCTAAATCCAAAAATGTGAGGGAATTCCTGGAAGCTCGGTATTCAGACAAGGTAGCCATCAACAGCCACATAGAGATAAACAACACCTACACACTATTCAAAAGAGACAATAGAAAGGAAACAAAAGACCAGAACATCTGCA